AGCGGCTGCAGCAGCAGTTGCAGCAGTTGCAACAGTTGCAGCATCAGCTGCATTGCTGGAGGTGGCAGCAGCAGCAAGAGCAGCAGCAGCTGCAGCGCCAGTAGCTGCGCTAGCGCGAGCACCAGCAACAGCCGTGGCAGCAGCAGCAGCGGTAGCAACAGCAGCAACGGCGGCAGCAGCAGGAAAAACAGCCGCAGCAGCAGCAGCAGCGGCAACGACAGCAGCAGCGGCAACGACAGCAGCAGCGACAATAGCAGATGCAGCAGGAGCAGCCGCCACAGCAGTGATCCGTGAGGCACCTCAGCAAACGCCTCGGTCCAGAAGCAGCAGCAGCAGCAGCAGCAGCGCCTGCTTGCTGCAGCTGCTGCCATGCCGCGGTGTGGGGGTGGTGGCGCACGAGGGGTAGCCGGCCGACCTGCTGCAGCGGGAGCCAGCAGCAGCAGCAGCAGCAGCAGTAGCAGCAGTAGCAGCAGCAGCAACAGCAACAGCAGCAGCAGTAGCATTAGCTGCAGTGGCAGCGGCCCTGCCGTTGCGGCATCCTCGCGGCGGAAGTCCACAGCTGGAGTTACTCAGCAGCGGCAGCAGCAGCAGCAACACGAGCAGCAGCAGCAGCAGCAGCAGCGAGGTGCATATATTCCTGGCTTAGCTTCAGTTGGGTCCCCCCAGGTCTCCGCAACGCGGGCTGGGCCAGGGCAGCAGCAGCAGCGCCAGCAGCAGCAGCAGCACGAAAGGCAGCAGCAGCAGCAGCAGCAGCAGCGCCAGCTTACTCAGCAGCAGAAGCAGCCACAGACGCCAGAGCAAAGACAGCAGCAGCAGCAGCAGCAGCAGCAAGGTAGGCTCGCAGGCCCGTCCCCGCCGCAGCGGCTTAGCAGCTGCTGCTGCGTGCCTTTGCCTTTATGTACTTATTAGTGTTTTGCTGCCTTTCTATTAATTAAATAAATCAATTTAATTAATTAATTAATTAATTTAATTAATTAATTAATTTAATTTAATTAACTATTTGCTTTTCCCGCTGCTGCTTCCTGTCTCTCCTTCTGTGTGTCTGCTGCCCTCTGTTGTCTTCTTCTGGAGGCTTTAGGGTTTAGGGTTTAGAGTGGAGGGTTTAGGGTTTAGGGTTTAGGGTTTCTGTCAGAAGCCTGGGGATAGGGTTTAGGGCTAGGGTTTAAGGTTAGGGTTTAGGCTCTAGCGTTTAGGGTTTAAGGTCTAGGTTTAAGTTTTAGGGTTTAGGGTTTAGGGTTTAGGGTTCAGGATGACTTGCTGCTGCTTTCAGCTGTACGTACACCTCAATCTGGGGACCGTCGCCCTCGCAATAAAGGCAGCAGACGCAGTGCAGCAGCAGCAGCAGCAGCAACACCTACTGCTGCATCTGCAGCAGCGGCAACGCCGCCAAGGGCAGCAGCAGCAGCAGCTGCAATACAGGGTGCAGCCACGCCCACAGTTTCCTCACCCGCCTGTAGCCAGCATCAGCAGCAGCGGCAACAGCAGCAGCAGCAGCAGCAGCAGCAACAGCAGCAGCAGCAGCAGCAGCAACAGCTGGATCAACAGCAACGGGAACGACGCGTGGAGGACCAGCAGCAGCGACAGCAACTGCAGCAAGAGCAACCGCACCAGCAGGTGAATGCTTTCGAGCAGCAGCAGGTGTATCATTTCGGGCAGCAGCAGCTGCAGCAGCAGCAGCAGCAACGGTCGCAGGTACATGATTTCGAGGAGCAGCAGCAGCTGCTGAAAGCGCACAATTTTGAGCAGCAGCGGCTTGAAGAGCAGCACGAGCTGCCCTTGAATGACTACCGGCAGCAGGAGGAGCAGGTGCCAGAGCAGCAGCAGCAGCAGCAGCAGCAACAGCAGCAGCAGCAGCAGCAGCAGCAGGCGCAGCAGCAACAGGGTTTCGCTCCGCCATCTGTGCAGCCCGCGTCTTTCCCCGAGCGTTTTTTTTTGTCTGCTGCTGCTGCAGCAGCAGCAGCACGGCGAGCTCCTCTCGGAGTGCCGGAGAGCAGCAGCGACAACGAAGCGCATGCACAGGAGGGTTTGCTGCTGCTGCCGAGTGACCCTGTGGGGCCCCACACCGCTGCAGCGCCGCTGCTGCAGCAGCTGCCGCTGCTGCCCCGCTTCGGGCCCTCAGCTTTCCCCAATTTCGAGGCTTCAAAGGCTCCAGTGTCTCCTCCCTGCGAGCTGCAGCGGGAAGCACATGTACAGCGACTGCTGCTGCAGCTGTCACAGCAAGACGCGCTGCTGTACGAGCAGCAGCAGCAGCAGCAGCAGCGGCGCAGGTTCCCGCAGCAGCAGCAGCAGCAGCAGCCGCTCGCAGCAAGGCTCGTCGTGCCCGAGGTAGTCCAGGGACGGTACCACTCGCTGCTGCTGCTGGACTCGGAGGAGAGCTTGGAGCGGCAGCGGCTCGTGCTGCAGCAGCTGCAGCAGCAGCAGCAGCTGCAGCTGCCCTGCCTCTCCCTTGCATGCGGCTACCCCACAGTTTGCTTCAAAGCTCTTTGCCTCGATGACCCCCACGCCTATGTCATTAGGCTCATTGCATTTTACCCCATTTCTTCTTTTGACCTAGTCAAGGTGAACTCTCTTGCTGCTGCTGCTGCTGCTGCTGTTGTTAAATTGGCGCTGCTGCTGCTGCTGCTGCTGCTGTCAAATTCGTGCTGCTGCTGCTGCCGCTTTTGTTGAGTTTGTGCGGTTCCTAGTGCTGCTGCAGGGACTGCTGTAGTGCAATTTGCATGTGCAGCATAGTTGTAAGTGTGACTGTTTGCTGCTGCTCGAGCTGGCAGTGAGGATATGCTGCTGCTGCTGCTGCTTCCGCTGCTGCGGCTGCTGCGATCGCTGCCAGCGCTGTCGTTCCCGTCGAGCTTGCTGTGGGTGCGGGCTTTGTCGCTGCTGATTTGCTGCCCGAGTATGGGGCCACCAGCACCAGCAGCAGCAGCAGCAGCAGCAGCAGCAGGGTTTGTGGGGTGTTGCATGCGCAGGCAGCAGTGCAGCGGTGGGCGCCGGTGTCTTCGTCTCACCCGAACTTAGTGCCGGTGCGCCACGCAATAGCAACAGCAGATTTGTCTGCATGCATGTCGAGTTTGTTTGCTGCTGCTGGCAGCAGCAGCAGCAGCAGCAGCAGCTGGAAGGGCTTCTGCGGCGGCGGCGGCGCTGCAGCAGCAGACAGCAGCTCCGAGAGCGACGGCGAGGGCGGGGGCCTGGGCCTGCTGCGGGGCCGCAGCAGCAGCAGCAGCAGCAGCAGCGTGGGCTTTGTCTCCGACTATATTCCCAACGCCTACACTTTAGAAGAAACTTTTGTCTCCGGAGAATCCAAAAATGAAACTATTAATGAAATAACTCTTTGGAAAATTATTCTTCAAATTCTTCTCGCGCTGCAGCACATACACTCCAACCAGTGAGCGGCCCCACACTTCCCCGGGTGTACGTACACCGCAAGGCGCAGCCCCCACGCGCTCTTGCCCCTCAACCCCAGACCCTAAACCCTAAACCCTAAACCCTAAATCCTCGTAAGCCGTGGCGCTCGCAGGTGTCCGTGCAGCTGGACCCGTGCAGCTGGGGCGCGGGGAAAGTGCTGCAGCAAAACGTGCATGCATGTGGGCTTTAACAACAGGAGCAAGGGTACTGCGTGCATCTGCAGGTCTGCTGCTGCTGCTGCTGCTGCTGCTGCTGCAGGCTGGCTTACGGGGCCCTGCAGCCGTCCAAGGTCCTCCTCTCCCACCGGCTGCGGGTGCGCCTCAGCTGCTGCGGCATCCTGGACGCCACGCTGCAGCAGCAGCAGCAGCAGCAGCAGCAGCAGCACCATCAGCAGCGCGCCGCTGCTGCTGCTGTAGCGGCAGCGGCGGCTGTCGCAGCTGCAGCGAATGTCCCAGGAGGAATCCCACCCGCTAGCAGCACTGCAGCAGCCGCAGCAGCAGCTGCTGCTGCTGCTGCAGAAGAGACTTTGGAAGAAAGGCAGCAAAGAGACCTGATGCTGCTGGGCAAGCTCATCCTTACCCTCGTCTGCGGCAGTGCAGTAAGCCTCACGAGTCAAGGCCTAGGGTTTAGGGCTTAGGGTATAGGGTTTAGGGTTTAGTGTTTAGCAGTTCTGTGGGTTTTTCCTTCGCTCCTTTGTTTGGCGTTTCTCTTTTTTTTGTTTGGGGTTCCTGCTGCTCCTCTTTTTCTTTCTTTTTCTCCTTTTCTGTCATTTCATTTGTTTCTTTTTATTTAATTTTCTTTTTAAATCTTCTTGCTGCTTGCGGCAGTTTCCTTTCTTTTGCTGTGGCTGTTGGGTTGAGGGCTGCTGGGGTGTACGTGCACCTCAGTCGAAAGAAGCGCGCAACTCCGTTCGAAGGCAAAGGCATCCGAACTTGCGCAATTTGTGCAAAATTCATGAATAATAACCCAAAAATATAGTTAAAATATAATTTTAATTGTGAAATTAAACAAATAAATCAAATTTATGCAACATTTGCGGCTAGCTGCGTTCCCACGGATGCAAACTTTGCCCGAAATCTGCAAAATGGAATTTTGCACGTATTTGGGTCTTTTAAGATCGCAGCTGCTGCAGTTGCATGCAAATGGACATTTTGTCACAAATGTAATTTCAAATGTCTCGTGGACTTCGCCAAAATCCGTAATGTAGCCTCCGGCAAACAGCGCCTGCAGCAGGGTTCAGGCAGCTGCTGCTGCTGTAGCTGCGTCTCCTCTTTTATCTCTTTTGCTGCTGCTGCTGCATTTGGGTCTCCTCTTTTGTCTCTGTTGCTGCTGCTGCTGCTGCATGGGCGTTCCGTCTTGTGTCTGTTTTGCTGCTGTTTCCCGTGCATCTACTGGACGGTGCAGCAGACTTGTTTCTAGTTCGTTGCTGCTGCTGCTTCAGTGGGTAGTGTCGATAGCTGCTGCTGCTGCTGCAGCCGCTTTCCCGGCCGCTTTGCTGCTGCTGCCTGTTCTCGCGTCCCACCGCCGCCGCTGCTGCTGCTGCCGCTGCTGCTGCTGCTGCTGCTGCTGCTGGTGGCTGCAGGCCGCGTCATCTCCGACAGGGGTGCGGGAGCTGATGGGCCGTTGCTGCTACAGCAGCGAGCTGAAGTGTCTGTGTCTGAGTCTGCTGTGGGGGCCCTCCGGGGGGGCCCCCCTGTGGAGCGCGGGGGCGCTGCTGCAGAGCTACGCGGGGCAGCTGGTGCCGCTGCTGCAGCAGGAAGAGGCGCTGCTGGACGGGTACGAGGCGCTGCTGTTCCGCGAGCTGAGCCGCAGCAGGCTGCTGCTGCTGCTCTGCAAACTGAACTTTGTTGCTGCGCGGGGGCCCCTGGGGGCCGACAGCAGCTGGGGAGAAGTTGGAGACAGATATATTGTGCGGCTCTTTAGAGACTATTTGTTTCTGCAGCAGGGGCAGCAGGGAGAGCCCGTGCTGGACTTGGGCCACGTGCTGCATGCAATGCACAAGTGCGACTTGGGGGCCCCCGACACTTTGCTGCTGATGGCTCCCGACGCAGCCAACAGTTTGCTGCTGCTGTCTTACCGCGACGTCAAAAACGCCATTGACAAGAGCTTCAGGGACCTCGTTGCTGCTGCGCTGCATGCGCCCAGCCCTGCTGCTGCTGCTGCGGCCCAGCCCCACGCGCACCCGCAGCCCACCAGCCCTCTCCACAGCCCTCCAGAAGCTGCTGCTGCTGCTGCTGCTGCTGCAGCAGGACGCCCCAACACGCTCCATGCATACAGCCCCGTTCACCACGCGCCCATGGGGGGCCTCTATGTGCCCCAGCAGCAGCAGCAGCAGCACCAGCAGCAGCACCAGCAGCAGCACCAGTACAGCCCGCCCGTCAACTGTGTAGAAGCCACGTCGCTCTACAGTCCCCCGCTGCAGCCGCTGCAGCAAGTGCTGCAGCTGCCCGCGCAGCAGCAGCTGCAGTACCCGCAGGACCAGCAGCAAGGCTGCTACAATCCGTACAGCTGGCATGTGCAGCCCTAACGCAGCAGCTGGTGCTCCAGCAGCGGCTGCCGCTGCCGCTGCAGCAGCTGTGGAAGCAGTCACAGCAGCAGCAGAGGCAGACGTTGCTGCTGCAGCCCGGGCAGCACCAGCGGCACCAGCAAATGCTGCTGCAGCGGCAGGACCATGTGCAGGGACCGCACCTGCTACTGCTGCTGCTGCTCTGCTGCTGCTGCTGCTGCTGCTGCTGCGGGGGATTCGTTTTCTATCTGCCGAGATCGACAGTGTCTATACACCTGAAGACGTGCACGTTCGCTGCCTTCAAGTGACCCACAAAGCTTGCTGCTACGCACTTGCTGCTGCTTATTTTGCTGCTACGCATTTGCTGCTGCTTATTTTGCTGCTACGCACTTCCTGCTGCTCAGTTTGCTGCTACGCACTTGCTGCTGCTTATTTTGATGCTACGCACTTACTGCTGCTTATTTTGCTGCTACGCACTTGCAGCTGCTTACTTTGCTGCCACGCACTTACTACTGCTTATTTGCTGCTGCATACTTGCTGCTGCTTATTTTGCTGCTACGCTCTTGCTGCTGCTTGTTTGCTGCTACGTAGGTGCTTATTTGCTGCTGCATACTTGCTGCAGATTATTTGCTGCTGCATACTTGCTGCTGCTTATTTGCTGCTGCATACTCGCTGCTGCTTTTCTGCTGCATACTCGCTGATGCTTATTTTGCTGCTGCCTACTTGCTGCTGCTTATTTGCTGCTACTTGCTGCTGCTTATTTGCTGCTGCATTCTTGCTGCAGATCATTTGCTGTTGCGTACTTGCTGCTCCTTATTTGCTGCTGCATACTCGCTGCTGGTTATCTGCTGCATACTTGCTGCTGCTTATTTTGCTGCTGCATACTTGCTGCTGCTTACTTGCTGCTACGTACTTGCTGCTCCTTATTTGCTGCTGCGTACTTGCTGCTGCATACTTGCTGCTGCATACTTGCTGCTGCATATTTGCTGGTGCATACTCGCTGCTGCTTATTTGCTGCTGCTTATTTACTGCTGCATACTTGCTACTGCACCCTTTCTGCTGCTTATTTGCTGCTGCATACGTGCTGCTGCTTTTTTTGCTGCTGCACACTTGCTGCTGCTTATTTGCTGCTACGTACTTGCTGCTGCTTATTTGCTGCTAGATACTTGCTGCTGCTTATTTGCTGCTGTGTATTTGCTGCTGCTTATTTTGCTGCTACGTACTTACTACTTCTTATTTTGGTGGTACGTACTTGCTGCTGCTTATTTTGCTGCTGCATACTTGCTGCTGCTTATTTTTCGCCGTGTACTTGCTGCTGCTTATTTGCTGTTGCGTACTTGTTGCTGCTTATTTGCTGCTACGTGCTGTCGCTTATTCACTGCTAGGTACTTGCTGCTGCTTATTTGCTGCTGCATACTTGCTGCAGCTTATTTACTGCAACGTACTTGCTGCTGCTTATATGCTGCAACGTACTTGCTGCTACCTGCTTACTGCTACGGACTTGCTGCTGCATATTTTGCTGCTGCATACTTGCTGCTGCTTATTTTGCTACTATGTATTTGCTGCTGCTTATTTGCTGCTGCTTATTTGCAGCTGCGTACTTGCTGCTGCCTCTTTGCTACTACATACTTGCTACAGCTTATTTGCTGCTGCATACGTGCTGCTGCGTATTTATTGCTGCATACTTGCTGCTGCTTATTTGCTGCTGCATGCTTGCTGCTGCTTTGTTTCTGCATACTTATTGCTGCTTATTTGGTGCTGTGCTGCTGCTTACGTACTGCTGCAGCGTAGCTGCTGCGTGTATGTTGCCACGCTTGGTGCACTACTAATTTGCCGCTGCATTCTTGCTGCTGCTATTTTGCTGCTGCGTAGCTGCTGCTGCTCTCCGGGCCGTCGTGCCGGGCACAGTCAAGTGAAGCGTGAGGCGCACACGTCTCGACCCGTAGCAGCAGCAGCAGCGGTGGGAACTGGCTGCTACATGCAGTGTGCTGCTGCTGCTGCCGCTGCTGCAGATACTGCTGCAGCTGCAGCACACCTCGCAGGAAGTAAAGTGGAGTAGCAGCAACTGGAAATTGTCGCAATTGGTTTCGCGGCTTCCTAAGGTTCGTCTCAAAATGTCATGTTTAAATTAATGAGTCGAGGTGTACGTACACCTGGTGCATGCGCATGCGCACGCGCACGCAAACCGCGGGGCTGGACTCGGCGGGGCGCATGCACCTGCCTGCCCCGGGGCAAAAAATAAAAAGAAAGAAGAGAGCCTGTTGCATGTCTTGGGGCTGTGGGGCCCCACAGCTGTGCCCGCAACTCTGCAGGGAGACTAAAAGGCAGCAGACTACGGGCAGCGCGCAGTGTTGGTAGACCCCAGAGAGCGCATGCATGCACGCATGCACGCGTGCGCGCGTGCGCCTTGCATGCATGCACGCATGCACGCGCGCATGCATGCGCCCTGCATGCATGCGCATGCGCAAGCGGGTTTTGTCAGCAGCAGCGCCCGCGAGCTTTCCGTGGAGTTCACTTGAACACGAGACGTGACGAGTGCAAATAGTCTGTATAAAAGAAACAATAACTCCCTATAAATGCAAGCCTGCATGCAACAGGGCTGCATGCATCTTGCATGCATGCATGCATGCGGCGGCCGCGCAGAAAGACAAAGAATGGGGCGGGGACCCAGCCAGCCCCAAACTAGAGACAGCCCCGTCTTATTTGCTGCTGCATGCGCTCCAGGGCCAAGACAGAAAAGCTGGGAAGCAGCAGCACTTTCTCTTCTGTCTGGAGGCTGGGGCCCGCGAGATTACCGAGACAGAGGCGTCATAGCTCGATTCAAATATGCGAGTTAAACATAAATGGCATGCAAATATAAATATAATATAAATATAACATAAATATAATGTAAATATTAAATATAATATAAATATAAATATAATTTAATATTTAGGGCATATTTTATATAAACTTTGCGCAAATGCTCATAAATACGTGTATGCGTGCGTGTATGTACGCGCTGTGGCGCCCCACACATCTGCGCATACACCCCAAATGCCCTTCGCTGCTGGGCAGGTGTACATACACCTCAATTCGGGTGTACGCAGCCGCAGAGTCACGCGCTACGCAGGCGAGTCGAATGCATAAATAGGAGCAGTGCATGCATGCATGCGGCCGAGCACACACCGACAGGAAGATGCGCATGCATGCATGCATGCACGCATGCATGCACGCACGCATGCACGCATGCACGCGTGCATGCATACATGCATGCATTTTAAATGCGCCAGCGCGTGCGTGCGCGCACGGGGCTGCGGCAAAAGCCTCAGGTGCCTTCCGTGAGACACAAACAAAGACAGAACATCAGGAGGCACTACGGGACACATCCGCCTCCGCAGCTGATATAGACTGGAGGCGCGAAGTATGCATGCATGCATGCATGCATGCATGCATGCACACATGCATGCATGCGCGCATGCATGCATGCATGCATGCATGCAGTGAAGGGGGAACAGAAGGTCCTGCATGTATGACATTTAAAGATATAAGAGCGAGCTTTTTGCGTACCTTAATAGACACCAAACAACTACATGCGCTGCATTTTCTCAAGGCAGCATTCCCTACGATCTGCTGCCGCTACTTTGCTGCTGCTGCTGCTGCGGCGGCAACAGCAGGAGAGCTCGCTGCTGCACTGGGGAAGCAGTCTTGCTGCTGCCGGTGCAAGTTGTTGCTGCTGCTTACATATGGTTTGCTTGCGTGGGTAGGTCCAGTTGCTGCTGCTGCTGCTGGTGCTGCTGTGGAAGCAGCAGCACTTCTATCTGCGTCCTCAGCAGGGGGAGGAGACCAGTCGCGGCACCGCCGTAGACTGGGGGGCGACCCTGGAGGCGGCAAAGACACATATACCTGTTGCTGCTGCTGCTGCTGCTGCCGTTGCTTCTGCTGCTGCTGCTGCTGTTGCTGCGGCTTCTGTTGCTGCTGCTCAGTCAGCGACATGGGAGACACGTCCGAGCTGTTGCTAGGCGTCAACAGAGCAGCAGCGGACAGGTCTACACACATCTCCAGTTGTTGCTGCTGCTGCTGCTGCTGCTCCTGCTGCTGCCCCTGCTGCGCACTTGTACATAAGGGAACTGACAAGTCCAGCAGGGCTGGGGGGCTGCTGCTGCTGCTTGCTGCTCCAGAGCCCTCAGGAGATGCGTATTCATACACCTGCAGATTTTACACACACACATTTCTGCTGCTGCTGCTGCTGCTGCTGCTGCTCGGCGTGTAAGTAATGCTGCGGCTGCTTGTGCTGCTACTGCTGGCCTTGTTGCAGATACAGACAGTGCTGCTGCTGCTGGACGTGTAAATAACGCTGCTGCTGCTGCTCGTGCTGCTACTGCTGGCCTTAACGCAGCTACGGCCACTGTCGCTCCTGCTGCTGCTGTCTGCTGCTGCTGCTGCTGCAGTGTGGCTGCTACCTGAACCACAAGGGGGCTTCCGAAGGAGACATGCTTCGCGATGCTCCTGCCAAGGGCTGCGGGGCTGCTGGGGAAGCTTGCTGCTGCCTGCTGCTGCTGCTGCTGCTGCTGCTGAAAAGGGACCTGTCTTGGCCAGCCACCTTGTGAACACTGCGAGGGGGGAGTAGCACGCCTAGCGGGGATGGGCAGAAGCAGCTGCTGCTCTCCCGTTGCTGCTCCCCATTTCTGCTGCTGCTGTCGCTGCTGCTGCTGCCGTTGCTGCTGCCGCTGCTGCTGCTGCTGCTTCTGCTGCATTTTGCTCAGCTCGCTGGTGGCTGTGCACGGGTAGGGCAACTGGAAGAAAGCCGACGGGTTCCTCCGCGTTGTGTTGCCGCTGCTGGTTTCTGCTGCTGCTGCTGCCGCTGCTGCTGCTGCTGCCGCTGCTGCTGGGGGAGAGGGGCCTCCATCTACTTCTCCTGTGTCTCCTTCTGGCGGGGAAACGAAGCAGCAGCTGCCGCGTTTTCTTGCGGCTTCTTTTGTGGCCTGGCTGTACCTGCTGTGGTCCCTAAAGTAGTTGCTGCTTCTGCTGCTGCTGCTGCTGCTGCTGTTGCTGGTGGCAGCAGCAGTAGGGGGCCGCAGCAGGTGCGGCGAAGCGCAGCCCTCCCCAGACCTTTTTTGTCTAGGTGTAGAGCAGCAACTAAGGGAATCGTCCCTGGCTGCTGCTGCTGCTTCTGCTGCAGCTTCTGCTGCAGCCGCTTCTGCTGCTGCCGCTTCTGCTGCTGCAGCTTCTGCCGCTGCTGCAGCTTCTTTCGGAGAAAGCAAAGAGGCAGCGCTACGTACTGCGAATGCAGCGGGGGCAGCAACGCCGCCTGCTGCAGCAAAAGGGCCGTCCTCGCCCAAGTCTGCTGCTGCTGCTGCTGCTGCTGCAGTAGGAGAGGGATATGCAGCAGGGGAAAAGGGGTCCCCAAGGGATAAAACCTGTTGGGGGCTGCTGCTGCTGCTGCTGCTGTCAGCTGCAGTGCTAGCTGTGTTTAGCCGTGACAGAGAATCGCCTCTGTGTGTGCAGTAGCAGCAGCAGCTTCGTCTGCTGCTGCTGCTGCGGTTGCTTCTGTCCGCTGCAGCACTGCCGTAGCAGTAGCCGCTGCTGCAGCGGGGGGACCCTACAGCCACATTGTCTGCATGCATGCAGCATGTGCTGCAGTCGTCCTCTTTGCTGCTGCTCCTGCTGCTGCAGTGACAGTCAGCAGCAGCGGCAGCTACTGACTCTGCTTCAGGCATTGTGCTGTGCTGCTGCTGCTGCTTCTGCTGCTGCCGCTGCAGCAGCTGTGCGCTGCCCCTAAGATACGGGGCGGCTCGGAAGACCCTTCTGTGCAAAGCGGCCTCACTGCTGCAGCTGCCCGTGGAGTTGCAGTAGCAGCAAGCGCAGCCGCAGTTGCTGCAGCAGCAACTGGAGCTGCGGGGAGCTTGTTGCTGCCCTGCAGCAGCAGCAACAAGCCCTATTTGGGGAGCAGCAGCAGAAACTAATGAGGCCCTCCAGTTTAGCTGCAAGACACCACAGCGCGTTGGAGTGTGCCTGCAGCTGGTTCTCTGCGGGTTGGGGGGTGTCCTCGTTGCTGGTGTGTTGCTGCTGCTGCTGCTGTAATGCAGCAGCAGCAGCAGCAGCAGCCGCAGGGATTAGGGGTTAAAGAGAAGCGTTTGTTGATGGACAGGCATTGTGTCTGCTGCTGCAGCAAGTGTGGCGTCTTGGGTGTATGGACACCTGGATGCTCAGTGCAGACCTGGTCGTGAGCAGCAGCAGCAGCAGCAGCAAGAGCACCACGCGCAGCAAGAGCAGCGCCAGCAACAGCACAAGGGGTTGAGTTTCATGTGCTAATTATTTTGGCAGCATTATAAAACAGAGGAGGCCTTGAAGAGACTCGGAGGGGTTTGCTGCTGCTGCTGCTGCTGCTGCAGCAAAACGCGGCCTCAGCGGCACGTCGTGCAACTGGAGGCACCGCTGTTGCTGCGGCAGCGGCTGCTGCTGCTGCTGCTGCTGCAGTAACACCAGCCCATTTCTGAAAATGTTTTGGTCTTCTCTTTTTAAAGTTAACGATACATTGCAGAGAAAATGAGAATCCCTGGAACTCAGCGCGAAAACGCCCATGATCGGCTTAATCGGTCCGCCGTGGGTTTTGTACACCCCAGGCGTTCGGGGGCGCTGCCTTCGTTCTGCCCCCCAAAATCTCCATATATTGCTCTTTTTTTTGGAGTTATATAATTTCTTTATCAAATAGTGAATGGTATTCAGAGAAAACGCGAAGAAGAGCGGTTAAGAGTGGTAGAGCTGGCGCGCACACCGCTGCACGCTTGCCAGCGAATCTGCTGCGGCAATTCGGGCAGCAGTTTCTGCTGCTCCCGCCGCTCAATCTTCCAGCACTTTTCGCGAGTTTTGCCAATTCCATTTATCAATTGCCATTTTTAAGCTCCATTTGGGTCTTTTGTGCTCTATTTCAAACTTATTTCAGCCCGGGCTGCGCGGCAGGCGTGCACGACACCACCGCGCCCCGCACCGCCGCCCGTGCCCCGCCGTGCATTCGGAGCATTCCAGGGCTTCTCCCGCAGGTGAACAAATTTATTTCTTTTTAAATTAACACTCTTAATATTTTTGCAGCATTTAAAAGCCGAGGGCGAAGAGAAGCCGCTGCGCAACCTCGGCGCTGGGGGGCGCTGCGGTGTCTCGCAGCAACCAACCCTGTGTGGCGGCGCCAAACTTGAACTCGCGCCTTTTAAAGTTAATTCCAAGTGAGTAAATTAATTAATTAATGTTTTAAAAGCTGCTAATTAAGCATAAATGGCAGAAGTGGCGGCCCGCTGCAGCGCAGCGCTGCAGCCAGCGCCCGCGCAGCCAGCCGCAGCGAGTCACGCGAGCCCACGCGGCTGTTTCGGCGAAAAGAACTTGAAACTTTCAAATCTTTAATTCTTTTTAAAACAATAAAAGCTGCTGCACTCTGCAGGCCTTTTTAACCAACTGAAAGGCCCCACTGGGGCCCCTGGGAGGGCCAAGAGCTCCCGCCCAATATGAGCCTCCCAGCGAATTGCCTGTATCCCTTAGCAAAGCTTTTGGCCCGCTGGCTGCAGCATTGTAGCCTTTTGCTTCCTCTCCTAATGCTGCTGCTGCGGCAGCAGCAGCAGCTGCTGTTGCTGCTGCGGCTGGCTCAGCCATCGGATGGCTCGTATGGTGTGGCTGTTCTCCCGGCGTATGGGGCCAAATAAGAAGCAGTTTAAAGGCCTGCTGCTCTGCTGCTTCTGGCAGCAGCAGCAGCACGAATCATCCTTTGGAGGAATGCTGGCCTTTTCTGAGTCGCCTTGGAGCAATTTGGGCATATAATAACAATAAAACTGAAGAACAACAAAAATAGCAACTTTAACGTACTTATAAGAGAGTACAAACTAAAAGAATTTATACAGAAACAAATTGTTCTTGTGAAGAGCAGCAGCCATGTGACCCTTTCGATACACCCCGCCCTCCTGGCTGCCACAGCGCATGCGGACAGCAGCGGGGAATTTTTGCAAGAGATTTTTTCTGTCTTTGAGTCTTCACGAATACCTAATTTATTGTCTTAAGGGTATTTGTGTCATAAACTATTTTAAAAGCGGTGCAGAGCAGGTCCGGGAAGGCCTAGCCAACTGCTGCTGCTGCTGCTGCTGCTACTGCTGCTGCTGCTCGCCCGACCAGCTGCTGCTGCCGCAACGCGCCTGCAGAGGCCCCAGAAGCGTGGCGGCTGCTGCTGCAGTAAGCTGCTGCTGCAGTAGGCTGCTGCTGCAGTAGGCTGCCGCTGCTGCCAGAGGGCCCCCGGGGGCCACAGGGCTCGCCAGGACAGCAGCAACTTCCTTGTCACTGCCTGCGCAGCGTTGCTGGCAGCTAGAGTGCTGCTGCTGCTGTCTTCGTTTGCTGCTCCAGGCTGGCAGCAAGAAGGGGCGCCCTTGTAGGCGCTGCTGTGTCTTTGGGGCCCCCCTTGAGTGTACCCTGGGCCCCGCCTTTGTCTTGGATTGAAAGTTCGATCAAATATTCAATTGAAATCAATTAAAGAAATAATTTGGGATTTCTGAGTCTACTGGCGCTGCATGCACTGCGCAGCCACAGCGGGGCAGCAGCAAAAACCCGAAAGCCTTTCGAAAAACTTCTTCCATTTCTTCCGGCGCAACAAATTCGGCGCATTGCAGTGTACGTACACCTCGAGGAAACGCTTGGACACCCCAGAAAGCGGAGTGTCTCTACACCTCAGCGTCCCCACACTCCGTGGGTCAGAAATAAGGAAAACAAGATGAATTAAAGAAAAAAGAGCACGAAAGTTCCCTTTTTTCATTTAAATAGTCTCCAAAAGAAGCCTGAGGCCAAAGACATGCAGAGGCTGCATGCAGCTCAAAGGCTGACTCTGTGGGGCTTCAGCTTGCCCTGTAGAAGCAGCAAACGGCCCGAGGGGCTTTTTTGGGGCTTTTTGTCGAAGTCCTCTTGCACGCAAGTTTCTGGGGCTTTGGCCTTTTCTGATTCTGCGTCTTCGTCTCCAGAACTTTCTTTCTCAAGGCCCCCCGAGGCCCCCCAAGGCAGCGGCTTTCCCGGGAAGGTGAAGGCGTCGCTGTCGACCAGCTGCAGCAGCAGCAGCAGCAGCACCAGCCAGCGCAGCGCATGCAGAGGCCGGCTCAAGGCGACGCGCTGCCGCCCCGGGGGGAGGCGCACGGGTGTACATACACTGCAGCGGGAGGCCGCGGCCCGCAGCAAAGGCGACGGAGACAAGAAGCAGCAGGAGAAAGAGCAGCAGCAGCAGCCGCAGCAGCAGCCAGGAAGCTTCTGAAGCAAATAGAACTGAAAAAGATACAAGTACAAATCCTAAGACGGACATTCTTAGCCTCCAGGGGCCCTCCAAACTCCTCCCCGTACTGCCGCTTTGCCCACAAAGGACGGTACAGAGCCATCAGCCGCGGGAACAGCTCCCTGCAGCGCAGCAGCAGCAGCAGCAACAGCAGCAGCAGCAACAGCAGCAACAGCAACAAAGCGGGCGTTGCAAGTTACGGCCACAGCGACAGCCGCCAGCGCCCAGGGGTTTTTCTGGCTGCCGAAGACAAGTGCAAAAATCCAAAAGAGAAATCCAAAAGAGAAATGAAAAAGAGAAATAAAAAGGAGAAATCCAAAAGACAAATGCAAAGAAGAAATGCAAAAGAGAAGTGAAAAGGAAAAACACGAAAGAGAAATGCAAAAGATAAGTGCGAAAGGAAATGCAAAAGAGAAATAAAAAGAAAGACAAAAAAATAATAAAAAAGAGAGATCTAAAAGAGAAATAACAAAGAAATGCAAAGGATAAACGCAAAGTATAAATGCAAAGGAGAAACAAAAGGAGAAATGCAAAAGAGAAATGCAAAAGAGAAATGCAAAAGATAGAAGAAAAAGATGAATTCAAAAGAGAAATGCAAAAGAGGAATGCGAAAGAGGAATAAAAGAGAGAAGTATAATATAGAAATAAAAAGGAAAAGAAGAAGAAAAAGAAAAGGAAGACAAAAAAATAAACTTGTACTTACCTCCTTGGCCTGAGTGCGTACTCGATGTCTTGGGTGGCTGCGATCTCAGTGTTGAAATCTGTGAACTTTCCTTCTCGGTGGTTTTCTGTCATTAAATAATGATAAAGTTCTTCGTGCTCCGCCACCGTGGCCTTGGGAGACAAGTAGCTGCAGCAGCAGCAGCAAAACAAGCAGCAAGCTCGCAGCTGCGAAACCAGCAGCAGCAGCAGCAGCTGCTGCTACTGCTGCTGCTGCAGCTTCAGGTGCAGCTGTTGCTGCAGGTGCTAATCATGGGGAAGCTACTCCACAACCAGCTGCTGCCGCACGTGCAAGTGCTGGTGCAGTTGCTGCAGCAGCAGCACCTGCTGATGCGGCTGCAGCTGCAGCTGCTGCTGCGCGGACCCGCAGCAGCAGGTCCGCGAAGAAATGTGCCTGCAGTTGTGTGCAGCTGCTTGTTGGGATTCCCTATTTGGGTGTAGAGTACATGAATTAACAACTGCATTATTGCTGCTGCAGCTGGGGCCCCGAAACCCTGCTGCTGCTGCTGCTGCTGCTGCCTCACCAGCAGTTGTATGGGCTCAAGCTGTACAGAGCCAGATTGACACAAATTGTTTTTCCTTCTGCATTTGGAGGATTTACTTCTCCCCTGACGAGGTGGTCTGCTGTTTCTTGCATTTCCAAACCCTTGGTAATATCTTCCCCCATTGCGAGGCGTGCTGCAGTTTCTGGAGTTGCTGCTGCTGCTACTGCTGCAGCAGACTCGTGGGTTGCCCCCTCCACCACCGCCCGTACGTACACGGGGTGCTTCCGTATGTCGGCCCTGCAGCAAAGGCCGCGAGCAGCAGCAGCAGCTTTCACATTCTCTTGCTTGTGCATGCAATTGCAAAACAAACTCTTAATAAAATGGCAAATGGACTTGCTGAGAAGCAGAAGGGAAGGCAGGAGGTAAGGCCGGCACGTGTAGCTACAGGCTGAAGCCGCTCCACCGAGCAGGAACTGCACCTGCAGCACGGCCGCAGCAGCAGCAGCAGCAACAGCAGCAACAGCAGCAACGCGGCTTAGTGTCCCACAGACCAGTGGGCCTTGATGATCTCCTTAGTCCTTCTCATCAGCTCAGAATCCTTTTCTTTGTCCTTTTTTGTCCCCTGAGTTTTCCGCCTTTTGCTTTTTTTCTCATTTTTCGGGACTTCTTCTTTTGACCACTCCACTGCTTTTCTGTATTCCGCAATGGCATCTGCGGAGCAGCAGAGTCAGAAGTTCGGAAGCAAAAAGGCATTTAAGGAAGCAAAAGGGCATTTCAACTCCGCTAGCAGCAGCAAACAAGCACTCCAGGCATCCGTGCGGGCTAGCTAGCTAGCTAGCCACATGGCTAGCCAGCTAGGTAGCCACTAGCCACGCGGCTAGCTGGCTAGCTAGCTAGTTGAAACTTTTAAGCGGGACACCCTCGGGCTTTCTTGGCCAGGCAGCAGCAAACGAAGAGGTCCTTGGGCGCGGAAAAAGGGAAAAAGAATGAGAAAATGTGGCGAAAAAAGACAAGGAAAAGCACAATTGATTCGAAGCAAGTGCGGCACAAACGAAAGAAAACAAAGGGACAGGACCCCCGCAAAAACGAGAAAAATGCAAAACAAAAAACTCAAAAAAAACAAAAAAAGGACCCACCGGCGTGCCGCGTCCACGCGGGCTCAAGCACATAGCCACCCCACATGCCTGCAGCAGCTAGTTCCACTTCTAAGGGAATTTCGGGGGGCCCCGGGGAGGGGTCGCGGTGGTAGGGGGGCATTTCCTGCAGCAAAAAAGGGAAAAGAGGCGAACTTCTATGGCCTTTAGAGGCAGCTAGGGGCCCCTGTTGGGGGCCCCGTGCCAGTGAAGCTGCAGCGCGGTCTTGTGCGCACAGAGAGCCAAGTAGTTGCCACAAAACTCGCCGAATGCCACTTGCTGCTGCTGCTGCTGCTGCGCAGCTGCGGGGGCATTCAGGGGTTCAGCACAAGCCCCACACACGTGCAGCTGCGCATGCAAGTGCAAACGTGCATGCAATTGTGCATGCAAGTGCAGACGCGCATGCACATGCCTATGCGCACGCGCACAGGTAAAGGCATTTCGGGCCTTTAGAGTTGCATGCATTCGTAATCCCAAACAGCCCCGCTTACGAGGGGGTGCCTGTGTGCCTGTCAGTGAACGCATGCAAAGGCCCTTTGGCCCATTTTGCAAAACATGCAAAAGGCCCCGCAGCCCCACATTCTTTGCCAGCCCCAGCCTTGCCCGCAGGGGACTTGGGCTGTTTTTGAAGCTCTGTGTCTTTATCTTTCTCTTCAGTTTTTCCTACTTTTCTCTCTTTGCCGCCACATTGCAATTAAGTAGACTATGACATGCATCGTCTATTCACTTCAAAATTGAAGTGTTTCGGGTAAGGGCTCCAAATGCAGACTTGCATTCCTTGCGCGTCAAAATACGAAGACAAATATAAAATTGAAATATAATTATACAAATTTGTGCATAATTTATTTATTTAAAGTGCAAAAGGTGCACATGCAGCAGAGGCATGCATGACCCACCACAATGTCTGTCTGTTTGTGAGTCCAAGGCTTCGGCATCCCGGTAATGTCATCATCAGGTAGGGTGTCTCTCCACCCTGAGCATTTCAAAAGAATAAAATAAAAAATAATTAAACTAGGAAGAAGACAAGCACATTGAAAAAGGAATAAGATCCAGAAGCAGAGGCCAGAAGCGGCGGCGCGGGGGCCCCACAGAAAAGCACACAGCAGCAACAGCAATACCCGCTGCAGCAGCAGCTGTAGCACCTGCTGCAGCGGATGCTGCAGTTGCTGCTGCTGCAGCAGCTGCTGCCTTAGTGGAAAGAACTCTCTGCAGCGCCTGTGTTAGGGGCGCCCAAACAGGAGGCAGCAGCAAAAGCAGCAGCAGCAGCAGCTAAGAAGCGACAGAGATGAAAGAGAAAACAAATAAGCACAGAGAGAGAATTATTAAAACAGTGAGAGGCAGGCAAAGCAGGCAAATGCTGCAGCAAAACGCACAAAACCCAAACTCAAGGCAGCGACACGAAACAGCAGAACCCCGCAGCAAACAGCAACCCACAGCCTGCACACTGATGCAAACAAATGAAGAAGAAGCAGACTGAATGGAGGAGAAGGAAAGGCAGAAATGAAAATAAGACTTTAAGATTAGATGAGCAGCAGCAGAGAGAGGCAGCAGCGGAGATAGTTGAAAAAGCAAAACAAAAACATCACCTGTTTCCGGCCAACACTCATGCAACGCATGCGGGCAGTCCCAGCTGCCCCACAGCCTCGCGTCGAGTTCTTCGTCAGTTTCCCCTGCAGCCACAGGCAGCCACAGGGCCCTTTGGCGCTGCTGGCAGCAGCAGCAGCAGCAGCAGCAGCAGCTACAGCAGCAGCAGCAAACAGTGTTCACAGGAAGCCTGGCCCCACAAGCAGCAGGGCTCAAAGACACGCTAGCCCGCACCCTGCCCGCTCCGCCGCCGCCGCCTCCGCGGAGCGCAGCAGCAGCAGTGGCCGCCGCCACCGCAGCACCTGCGCGTCTGCGCCGGCAGCAGCAGCAGCAGCAGCTGCTGCTGCTGCTGCTGCTGCAGCAAAGGGCGCACCGAAGTAGACGTCTTGGTTTCCGTCGGGGAGCCTGTCGAGGCGGAGGCCGTAGGGCTTGTCAAGGCTTTCTCGAAAGCCAACTCCGTGGGCTAAGTGCTGCGGCCATTTGACTGCGCTCTGCCGGTCCACAGCCAGCGGGTGCCACGGGAGGCTCGAGCCCTTCCCCCCGTAGTTCTCAGCGCCCCCGTCCAGCACTCCTGCACGCCCAACTAGCGGCAGCCACTCCAGCCCTCAGCAGCAGCAGCAGCGGGGGAGGGGGCGGCAGAACTGCCGCCCATGAAGAGCTGCAGAAGAGAACACGCAGGAGTTGTTGCTGCAGCGGCGGGGCTTGTGCAGCGCAGCTGCATGCATGCATGCAGCAGCCCGCGTCTGCACCGCCTGTGTGGGCAGCACTTGCGGGCCATTTCGAGCCAATGAGATCTTTTTTTCTCTTTTTGGCGATGCTTGCACTAGCTAAAGACTGACAGCAGCAGCTAGCAGCAAAAGCTGCCTTCGACTCCCCCGAGGAAAAACCCAGAAGTGCAGTTTATGAGACAGGGAACAAATCCAAGATCATCAAAACCCAGAGACGCCCACACGCACAGCTGCGTGCACACGTGTGCATGCATGCATGCATGCATGAATGCATGCATGCACCCGTGCATGCATGCAGTTTGCGTCGGTGTCAAATGGGCTGAGGAGAAGTGCGAGTTTACGACTCGGTAACCCGAAGACAGAAATGGCCAGCATCTTCTCGTGGAAACATGCAAGACAGATATGTGCGCATAAAGCTGTTGATATGCATGCATGCAAACATATGCCCGCACTATGTACGAACGGCCCCTGTACTTGTAGCTGCCTGCATGCATGCAGGCGTTCATGCATGCATGCGTACAGTCCCGAATGCAGGCGTGCATACATGCATGCATGCATGCACGCATGCATGCACGCATGCATGCCTGCATGCGTGCATTCATGCAGGCATGCACGCATGCATTGAGGGAGAAAGGCATATGCTTAACAGACACACCTACGGGCTGTTCTGCAAATGTTTTGGTGTCGATGAAAGTCCAGTTTCCTTGAAGGAAGTGGAGCCAGTTGTTGTCAACTCCTCTGCCGAATTGCTTGTAGAAAGGCACATACACATCCCACTGCAAAAAGAAGACACACAGGCGCGGGGCCCGCGGCTAAAGGCCCGGGGCCACGGGAAAGACAAATGCATGCACTACATGCATTGGACGCACTGCATGCACTGCATGTGCCGCATGCACTGCATGTTCTGCATGCACTTGGGACACCCAGAAAAATGAGGCAGCAGCAGCAGAGAAATAGCACAAAGGCAAAAGCTGCGAAAAGAAAAGAGACACGAATGGGGGCCCTGTGGCTGAGGCGGAAATAAAATCAAAAGTGCAGCAAAGGCTAAATGGAACTAAGGCACTGGCCGAGAGAAAAAGACAGATGGAAAAGACACAAAGGCCTAGCGGCGCGCAGCAGCAGGTCTCAGCAGCAGCAGCAGCAGGCAGCAGGGAGGGCCGCGCAAGACGCAGAAAACATCCGAAAGGAAACAAAAGGCTCTAGAGAGAAGAGCCCACAGGCATGTTCTTAATGGGATCTTCCATAAACTCTTTCATGTGGGCCTCCAACGCAGAACCTGGCAAAATGGAATTCATTTGGAGACTCTGGAGGCCCCCGCGATGCCCAAACTCAAACCCGCTGGGGTCTCTCCTTTGAGCCTGCCCTCCTGGAGAAAGCGCCGTCCAAAGGTGACCCTGCTGCTGCTGTTGCTGCTGCTGCTGCTGCTGCTGCTGGGGCCGTTGGGCCCCCGTTAGGGGATGGGGGGCCCCCCGGCGCTGGCGCTGCAGCGGCGCCGCCAGAAAACGGCTCTGGCGGTGCCGCTGGGGGCCCCCAGCAACAAAGGCAGTTAAAGCCAGCGGGGGGGCCCCCAAGTGTGGGGCCCTCTTTGTGGAGGGCCCCAGGTGACCTGCAGCAGCTGGAACGAGTGCCCCCGCCTTAGCCGCCAGATTTCTACCCGTCAGACCGGGCCACGGGCTCCGGGGCGCCCCCCAGAGGCGGCCGCTGCAGGGGAAGCATGAGAGAAGAAGAGCAGCGAGCAGCAGCGGCAGCAGCAGGGCAAGCCGTAGCTGCTGCAGTCCTCTGCGCCGGGTGTGCACCGCATTCGCAGCGCAGAGCCTTGGCATTTGGCCCCCCTTTCCCCAGAGGCCATGCCAAGGCTGGTTAGCCCATTCCCTCTTAGCCGCAGCGTCGGGGGATGGCGCTGCAGCCTAAGGCTTGGCAGAGGCGCAGCAGCAAAAGCAGAAAAGTCTTAAATAAGACATCTGAGCCCTTTTGGCAAAGGATCGCTGGAAAGGGTACTAAGGTGTACTACTTTTTTCCTCCTTCTGCGCTCTGCGGAGCCATTCATAACACCAAGAGCTGGGACTCACAATGCCGCAGTGTCTTCGACGCCATTCAGGAATAAATTCAAAAAGAAAAGAATAAGTTGTTCGTTAAAAATTGTAGTTGATGGCTAAGGCGAAATACTTTCTAGGCAAGCAATGGCTGCCTCATAAGGCGTCTGCTGTGGTCGCTGAGAAGACCTCAGCGATTCCGCTGAGGCTAATGAAGACCGTTGACGGAAAAATAGATCGCCTTGAGTTAAAAAGTGAGAACGAGTGTAAATACTGTGGAAAAAATGAAAAAAAAATTGGTTACACTTCTCGATTTGTGCGTGTCATCCTTGCGCAGGGGCCATGCTAATCTTCTCTGTATCGTTCCAATTTTAACAGATGGCACTCCCGAAGGAGGCCATCCTCTTAACCCACTCTCGTACAGAAGGAACACCCATCACGGGGTGAGGTCACCTGAGACACTATGACCGCCTTTCCGTTCTTTTGCCTTGAATAACATTCTTTGAATGTTTAAAAGGCAAAAATAACAAATATTTTTCAAGATCTAATCCGCTTGTGTGATATACGAGACGAGCGGGTTTCTGCTGCTGGGGCGAACGTGACTGCCGAGATGGGTTGGAAGACCTGGTGGGAGAGTTGCTTTTGTACTTTATGTTATTGGAATAAATGGACAAGTGAAGCTTTAAGTCATATTCAGATGTGAAAGGCTCATTCCTCTACCTCCCTACTTAGAATATGGTTTCCTTGTGGACCATGAAGCCGCACCAGAGGGAGTCGAACGTGTGAACAACCAGTTGAGGCCGGAAAAAGGATTTCAAACGAAAAAAAGCACCAAACTGCAATTTTCCAATTCAAAACATGCATATCCAGGAGTCGACGGGACAGGGCAGTACATTCTTTACAGAAAGGCCTGCGGCAGGACAACAAGGCGGAGTGAAGGACCCACAGCTTGGCCAATAAAAGAAAATATTATGCACTTCTTGCAACGCACTGCAGCAAAGACGTTTGTTATTTCATTGGAGTTTTCCGTCCATCCTCAGAACGCCGAGTTGAGCGCTGTAGCAACAAAGACGAAAGGAATCGGTCAGCTCTAAGCGCACAGAAAATGGGGAAAAAAGTGAAAAAAAATTGGTTACACTTCTCGATTTGTGCGTGTCATCCTTGCGCAGGGGCCATGCTAATCTTCTCTGTATCGTTCCAATTTTAACAGATGGCACTCCCGAAGGAGGCCAACCTGAAGTGCCGTCTTCGTATTAAAGGAACGCCCATCGCGTACAGGGTCACCTCACTGCGGCATCGACTCCCAGTAGCACTTCCACGTTTCCACCAATTTTCTCCAATTTTTTTTCGATTATATTCATATATTGTGTGCTTTTTTGCCACATCCGCTTGCTAGTTTGCAACAACAGTGAGGAGAGATGCTTGAACAGCTCTACGCTGCGCAACAGCTAGAGGGGAGGTGGAGAGGAGCCACGACTTACAGGAGGCACTACTTGACTCGGATATCAAGATTGTTTTGACGGGAATGAGATTTGAGAGGTTAAGGGCAATATGAGGTGTAGGAGAGAAGGGAGATCTGGCGACCTGGGTGGCACGAAAGTAGAGTGGCCTTTACTTCGACGAGATGTACCAATGAACCGTAGAACCATCTTGGTGCATTGTAACACTTAACATTCATATTAAAAACATCAAAAAGAGGCTCCGCCGTGACACGACGCATGACTCGGGTGGACAGTGCGTTTGGACGCGAACTGATCCTTGATGAGATCCTCAAGCTCTGAGTCTCTAACGGTGTCAAAGTGTCACAAAGTAGCAGCTACCAACTAAATGACTCCTTAATAGTGATGAAGTACCAGAGTAGCAGCTACCAACTAGATAACCCTCGCTACGATTTGCACACGCGTTCCGCTCCCTCTGTCCGCTTTGACAACGAAAGCGCCAGTTCGAAAGGTGACCAGAGGTCATATTTCTCAAGAGAAATGTGAGTGGGGCTCAACTGGGTGGCAGTTGAGGCCGCCTCTCCCTGCCAAGAGCATTATCAAAACTGTGTGTGGAACATAACTTCGCACATCAGAACAGTGTTATGTACACATGCTGTGCTGAGGCAGCAGGTTGCAGGTTGCTGCTGAAGTGGAAAGAACTGGCCCCAACGCCCGTTACTGCGCGCGTCGGCGAAGACACAGTAGGACTCAGGCTGGGGGACTCAATCCCCAACTGCCACAACAAAGTAAAGGCAGACGCTGTGTGCAGTGGCCGCGCCGGCTCTAATCTTCGAGACTTGACAAGTCCATCAGCCCCGTGCGAAAGCAGTGGCTCCCCACTGTCCCAGTAGCTGGGCCTGGGCCGGCTACTCGCCATCTGGCGCTGTGGAAGTGTCTGCTGCTCTTGTGGCTGCTGCTGCTAGCCCTGTTACTGCAGCGTCGCCCCCGCTAAGCAGAGATAAGGGGACTGAAACTCTAACTTCCACATCCCTGTGGTGCAGATGCCTCCTCCGCTCTACCTGCACAGAGGCAGTTGCAGTTTGGTGTTTGTCTGGAGGCTGCACAGGGTGAAGGGAGCCCCTGTTGCTGCTGCCCACACTGGGGGCCCCTGGCCCTACAGATTCTCCGTAGTCTGCGTCCAAGTGCTCGAGCATAGACTGTTGGTCATTAAGAAGCTGCTGCAGAGGGACCCGCAGCAAGGAGAGTTGCTGAAGGTCAACAGATGAAACTGATAAGCTGGAGCTCTGCCCGAGCTGCTGCGCAGCGCTGCTGTTGTCTTGCTGCTGCGCTGCTGCCGTTGCGGCTGCTGCTGCTCCCGCTGCTGCTCCTTCCTCCCTCGCAACTCCAGATCCACTCAGGTGTGCATCACTCAAGCAGCTGCTCGTTGTCTCCCTCAAATTTGGGATTTCTCTCCGAGAAGAGGCTCCCCTTGTGCTGTCGGGGACGCCCAGGACGTCCCGTCCGTCCTGGGCGGGCAGCTGCTGCTGCTGCGCGTGCTGCTGCTGCTGCCGCTGCTGCTGGTGCTGGCACCGCTGCATTCCGTCGGCCGCCGTCGTCGCTCCCTGCAGACTCAGTTGCTGGCTCAAACCGCAAAGACCCCTCGGGCATGTCACAGGAGACACAGCTGCATCCCTGGTTTGCTGCCTCACAGTGGGAAAGACATGGGGGCGTGCGGGAGGCGTGGGCTGGGTTGAGGAGGTTGCTGCTGCTCCTGCTGCTTCCGCCGCTGCGTCCCGAGTGGCTGCACTGAGCCGCTGCTGCGGATCCGCAGCAAAAAGCCTCTTCTCCAAACTCCAGAGCTGCTGCGTCGGCCCCACCTGGCCTCGCGGCTCCTGAAGGGTCCTGGGGGCCCCAGTCACTGTTAGCGGTCCAGCTTCTGCAGCTGCGCCCGGTGCTGCATGCGGCGTCAGCAGCATTCCCCAGTTTGCTGCAGCAGCACTTGCTCCCGCTACCCCCATGGGAAGCCCTTCAGCAGCACTGACTGCCAGTCTGGGCAGCGCTGCTGCGGCCAGTTGGGGGGGCGCAGAGAGGCGGCCCGAAGCCCTCGGCTGCTGGCTCTGCAAGGGCGGCAGCGTGACGGGCGGCGAGAGCAGCGAGCTCGGTGCAGCAGCAGCAGCAGCAGCAGCAGTCACGCGCACTGGGCCTGCAGCGAGCGGCCCGTGAGGCCCCTGGGGGTCCCGACCTACACTAGCATTTGACAGCAAAGAGCTGCGCCGCCTGCTCCCGCTCTGCATTGGGGGAAGCACCACTTCGGGCAGTTTGTTGCTGCAGCAGCAGCTGCAGCAGCGGCGCGAGTCTACGGGAGCTCCCGTGTCGAGCAGCCCCTCTGCTGCTGCTGCAGCACGAGCAAACGCCGTTGCGGGGGTCAGAATTGCACTGCTGCAGCAAGGGCTGGCAGCTGAGACAGGAAGAGGAGCAGCAGGAACATTCAATACAGTGTCGGACCTAGACGGCAGCGGCAGCAGCCCAAGAGGCACAGGAGGCGACAACGCTGGCTGCTGCTGCAGCTTCTGCTGCTGCTGCTTGTGCTGTTGCTGTTGTTGCTGCTGCTGCTGCAGTTGTTGCTGCAGTTGTTGCTGCAGCTGTTGCTGTTGTGAACCACTCGAAATCATGGTCCTTAACGCCCCCTCCACAGGTCCCTCCGTTGCTCGCAGCCCATCTGCGCTGCCGCTTTCACTATCAATTCCCCGCGGCAAAAGTTGCTGCTGCCACTGCTGCTGCTGCTGTAGCTGCTGCATCGACTGCAGCTGCTGCTGCTGCTGCCGCTGCAGGTCGTGGCCCCCGGGTGACAGAGGCGCCAGCTGCAGCGGCTTCATCTGCAGCGACTGCAGCTGCCGCTGGCACTGCAGCAGCTGGTGCCGTTGTTTCTGCCGTTGTTGTCGCTGCTGCAGCTGCTGCAGCTGCAGTCCTAAACGCTCCACTCGCAGCAGTGCCAGCTGCAGCAACGGGTCCGTCTGCCCCATTAGCTGCTCTATCAGTGATGCAGCATGCTGATGCAGCATAAGCAGCAGGATTTGCTGCTGCTGCTGATGCTGCTCCCGCTGGGCCCTATCCTGTTAGCAGAAACACCGGAGCAGCAGCAATGGGAGTGAATGGAAGCATCCCTGGAAAACGAAGGCAGAGAACAGCAGCGGCTGCAGCAGCAACAGCCGGAAGAGAGCAGCAGCTGCAGCAGCAGCAGCAACGGCGGAGAGGCACATAATGCTGGCTTCGGTCCTGATCCAAAGAGCATGTGAACATGCAAAAGCAAATAAGCAGCACAGAGACACTTACAGATGCCTGCACAACTTCCTGCCGCTGCAGCAACTC